TACTATTAAGAGGTGTACTCATATTCCAGCTAAGTGGAGTCCAACTTCACTTCAGACTTCTAGATGAATGCATGGAAATTGTGGGAAATAGAGGATGTGGCTGTGCATTTAGTTTCATTTTCTACCCAGTTTGAAGCTTCTGTGCAATTATCTAAGTGCCTGAATTAAGCTCTAAACTAATTTAGAAGTGTATAAAGCTCTATCAATGCCAGTTCATTTACTTCTCATGAAATCTTCTGGAAATCCAGTTGGTAATACTTTTCAAAAGAAAATTGGCAGCTTTACTCATGGACCAGTCAGGACCTCTTTAAGACACCAGAAGGCCGAGAGGCAAAATGTTTGAACACTTACTCTGCCCATCCCAATTCTTGTCACTACATCCTGCACTGATCATTTCAAATACTGAATTATACTTCAAATGGGATCCCCTGCTTGAACATTGCCTCTATTGTCCCCCTTTAAAAAGGCTCTGGTATGGTGCCAGTGCAAAACCAATTAATCTATTTTATTTTGAGTGCAAAAAGTCACCCTATGGCGACTCTAAGCCTAGCAAGCAGAATAGTTTTTTCTACAGAGTAAATCAATTTTCATGCTTGGTAAAGAGTAAAAAAGTCCTTGAGCCAAGTAACTGCAACCATACAGCTTTCTTGACAGTATTATAGAAGAAGTTTGCTTTGCTTTCTTTCACAGTGGGTTTTTTTTTCATTTTCCCAGCTAATCAGTAGTCCCAAATTCCCACTCTGTATCATCTCTGTAGTAACCCTGGCTTATCTTGCTTAGCTTCCAAATGTTGCCATCTCCTGAGACTGTCCTGAGACTGTCTTCATGTACACACCAAATAATTGCCGGTTTACTGTTTTCATTTTTTCACTTCTTATTCAACATCCTCAACAGGACCATCAGAAATCTCTTTATCAGAAATCAAAGCATTTAGGTCACCTAACGTAATCCTTTTTACTCTTACTTAAAATGGTTCTTCAGAATTTCAGAAAACTTTTTTAAAGAGAATGAAGAGGCAGTCCCCCCACCCTAACTCCCCCCGGGCCTTCCAAATAAAGGGTTAAAACACAGCTCTGCCACCTTGCATGGGAAACCCAAAGAAGTGCACACTCCTGGGGTTGGTTAGTGCTGAGAGTTGTCCCTTTACCTTTGTTAAACAACTTTTATCAAAGTTAACATGCTCTTTCTTCCTTTAAAATAATTATATGGTTTTAAAATTGTAACTCTATTTTTAACTTTAGTATTTTAATTTTTATGTACTGTTTTATATTGCAATGTTTTATTATATGCTGCCCAGAGTCCTTCAGGGAGATGGGTAGTTTAGCAATATGAAAACTAATGAGAGGGGGTAGGAGAAAGAAAGAAAGAAAGAAAGAAAGAAAGAAAGAAAGAAAGAAAGAAAGAAAGAAAGAAAGAAAGAAAGAAAGAAAGAAAGTCATGACAAATCTAGCCTACATTTTTTGCTAGTGGGCTAGAATTAAAATAAATTTTCTAGCATGAGCATGGGCAAATTTGTACAGTTGCATATGGAAAAAAACTACTTAATTAAAGCATCTTGAAATGCTTCTGTAGATGTACCCTTTTATCATCTTTGATGAAACAATTAAAACCATTATTTTTAATTCAATTTTTGGCTCCTAAAAATGCAGCTCATTTAAAAAAATATATTCCAGATGAATTTGTATTTCATGCTTATACAGAGCATATAAGCGTATATGAAGCCACAGTGAATAGAAAATATTATTACAGACATGGTTTATTTTCCAGTTGCAAAGATAGATCTTCTTAGCTTTGGCTGGATTGTCTCCTTTATAATTATCCCAAATTTGGTAGCTAGACTTCCCAACTTCCTTTTTTACTAGGAGATAATTATATTCATGGAAATACTCCTTCATCATTTTGTGCTAATTTCTCAGGTTGATAATGAGGGGTCAGAGCACATTTTAATAACTGACAAGGAGTGGTTCATATATCTCATTACACCTCTCCTTTGATATTGAACAGAAATAGACTTTACATTTATTCAATAATCTAAAAAACTAGTTGAGATAAACTGTTGCATTACAATACTCTAACCTATATTTTTAAAGCCAGAAATATCTGACATGCTAGTTATTAGCTTGCATGTTTTACTGTTTATATTTACTTTATGAAAAAGATGGGGGAAGGCTTTTTTCTCTCTAGCAAGGGATATAACCTACAAACAAAAATACCTTTTTAAAAAGTCATCTAGCCTCTTAAAAGTGTTGCATACATTTACTGGTTGAGAAGACTGAGATTCAGTACATCTGGAGAACATCAGGTTGGGAAGGTAGAAAATGTCTATCTTTCACTAGTTGTTTTTTTTTTTTAATCAGGTGACAGTTTGAGTGAGTACATGTGAAGACCAGACTGATTCATTTCAGATTGCAAATCACTATATATGAAGACAGCCTGCTGCTTCATAGAGTCTAGAAAAGAGGCTCCACTGGCAAGTGCACTTGAGCTGGATATGTAGAGTCAACTTTGGCTTCTAACACTGTACATTAATAATTCTATTTTGAGTGGTGTTAATAAAAGAACAAAGCAGATTCATAAGATTAATGTTAAAATCCCTTGCCGAAATGTTGATTACATTCCAGCATTTTATTTTAGGACAAGGAGTTCTTTCGTCTGTAGATTTAAAAAAAAAATGAAAAGGAACTAAATATTATAGAATTAATAGGAAATACTACATGTCTTCTCACAATAGATTAATCTACTTTGGCACTGTAAATGGCGAAGTTGGGCAACATAGAAGTTTAATAAAATACCACAGTATGCCAATAAGAAGTAGATAATTATTGCATAAAGAAAGGTATCTAATATCATTTTTGACACATTTGCATTTGGTACTATAAAATATGCCGCTAATCTTTAGTCAGCACAATTACATCCTGGATTTTGATTTGTATTAGTTTTTGAAAGAATTTCTGCATGGCTTTTATATGCTTTTTTATTTTGTTTTATATTGCATATAACATTTATTGAGATGGGTGGCTATATAAATTTCAAATAATCAATAAAATCCAGAAATTACCCTAAGTATTAATCTGAAATAATTATTATTGGATCTGTTTATTGTCAGATACCATTTATATTTATTAAGAAGCTGGTTTCTTTAACACAATTTTTGGTAAATAAAAAATGGATGGATATTTGCTTTTATATAAAAACAATTGATTTCTGACTGAAGAAGAACTGAAGAAGCTTCTTGGATGAGAAGTGAAACTCCAGTTGCCTTTTGAAAAAGCACCTTTGGAACAACCATGACCTGAATGACCGAGAGTCTCCATAGACGATTGATTCCTAAGACTTTATCATCATAGGATGTATAGCCATATCATCATGAAACATGTTCATATTATTTATTTCAACAATAAGTAGGATTGCCAGGCTGGTATCATCCCTTTCTTGAGAATTTAGGTCCAGCCAAGTTATGTCGCATAATTAACTATTAAGATTTCTATCTATAGAAATGTGGCATTAGTAGTACTGAGTGGTATGGGAGCACAACAATTGAGGAGGAAGAAGAAGAAATATTCCCCATGTGCCAAAGGATTCTAAATAGATAACTATTCAATTCATCTCAAGATGTTTTCACTAAACCACTATATTATTTAATTTCCTTTTCAAGTTAGGACTGATAATTATGAATTCAGTTATAGCATAATTTAATGATCAGATATTCATTGTGCTTGTGCACAGTAATACAAAGTGGTGTTGTCGAGAAGAAAATTGGTTAGATCAACATCTTTGGGTAAAAGAAAATGTGCCCAGTTATACAAGAATCTGAATTCCCTTCTGACAACCAGAAGATAAAGCACCATTTTCTTAACTTTATGGTATTTGCACCACTAACCATATCATACTGCGTAAAAGGCAAACTTCTTCTTAATAACTTTACTGTATAAATAACATTGAAGGTTATAGACGGAATTCTTTTTGAAAGAGAAATGTAGAACTTATGGCCAGTTTTGAAACAAAATGAAGTATTTAAATCTATATAGCCCGTTTGTTTTATTAAAATAAGGCCTTGACAAGAGAAGCACTTACCAAACTCTACCTGTGAATGACATTGAAGTCTTCCTTTTTTTCCTGCATGCCAGAACAGATATAAATAATTCAGTGACTAGCTTTATTCAACTTTCTTATCAGAGCATCTATAAAGAACTAGGAGGTGCTACATTTTCAGCTTTGCTGCTCCTTTCAACCACAATACTAGAGCATATTGAATCCTAATTTGCCAAAGACAGAATTTTTTGTCTTGTAGATTTTTAAATGTAACAAAATATACAAAAGATTCCCCCCCCCCAACACTTTGCTTTCAATATACTAGAAAACTACTATGCAAAAGATACCTGGTGGTGGTGGTGGTGTTCTACTGTCACATGTTGGAGACTGATTCCTTTTAAGAAATGTGACTACCTTATTAATGCTAGTAATGTTAGCAAGCCTTCTTGCTGCACTGACTTTAGTTAATTTTAATTCACTAGTAAAGGGGGAGCATTCACCGCTTCCGGAGGCAGGTTGTTCCACCGATTAATTGTTCTAACTGTCAGAAAAGTTCTCCTTAGTTCTAGGTTGCTTCTCTCTTTGATTAATTTCCATCTGTTGCTTCTTGTCCTGCCTTCAGGTGCTTTCGGGAATAGTTTGACTCCCTCTTCTTTGTGGCAGCCCCTGAGATGTTCGAACACTGCTATCATGTCACCCCTCGTCCTTCTCTTCATTAGACTAGACATTCCCAATTCCAGCAACCGTTCTTTATATGTTTTAGCCTCCAGTCTCTTGATCATCTTTGTTGCTCTTCTCTGTACTCTTTCTAGAGTCTCAACATCTTTTTTATATCGTGGTGACTAAAACTGGATGCAGTATTCCAAGTGTGGCCTTACCAAGGCATTGTAAAGTGGTATTAACTCTTCACGTGATCTTGATTGTATCCCTTTGTTAATGCAACCTAACACTGTTGGCTTTTTTGGCAGCTGCAGTACACTGCTGGGTCATATTTAAGTGATGTCCACTAGGACTCCGAGGTCCCTTTCACAATTGCTACCATTGAGTCAGGTACCACCTCTATTATACCTGTGCATTTGGTTTTTCTTGCCTAAATGTAGAACCTTACCTTTTTCACCACTGAATTTCATTTTATTACATAGTTCTCAATGTTCAGGTCTGTCAAGATCCTTCTGTATCTTAAACCTATCTTCTGGAGGGACAATCCCTATTTCCCATTGTGTGTGTGTGTGTGTGTGTGTGTGTGTGTGTGTGTGTGTGTGTGTTTGTACCTTTGACTGCATTGACTCCTTGCAAATGTCTGGTCAAATCCCTGCAATTTTCTTGGCAAGATTTTCAAAAATGGGCTGCTTTTGCCTTCTTCCTAGGCCCAAAGTTATTTACCAGACTTTAGCCTAAAACTGGGCTAAAACTCATTGTCTACTCTACTGGTTTTTAGTCTGGCACCTTCACCACTGCCCAGACCAGTTGTCATTTCCAGTTGAGTGTTCCTCTATCTTCCTCTGTCTTTGAGTAGAGGAATCAATTTCAAACCATATCCATTTTCAGAAATTTAGCATTGAACTCAGAATCTTTACCATTTCCTTATAGAGATCTCCTTTTTTCCCTTGAATTTTTGTAACTGAATAAAGGCCTGTGTGACATAGGATCCTTAATATTTTGAATACTGTCCTGTATTAGCAGGTTAGCATGAAAACACTGTATGAAGCTTTACATCAGATTCTATATTAATTAAGGGTGAAACAGAATGCCTGCCAAATCTGTTTCTATATATGTGTTGTGAGTTTATTTATGAATGCATTTGCATCCTTTTAAAAAAATATGTAACCTACCTGTTTGCTAAAAATATCTGTTCTATTTAATTAAAAGAATCTCTCTGGCTCCTTTATAGTAATTTTAAACAGCAAGAACAATTGTATCTGATTTGTTTTCATTAATATATGTAAACTAGAAACAACTGAATTTCACAGGTGTTTTTTAAAACAGTCCAGTGCATATTTTAAGGCAAAGCATTGGGTACTGGATGTCTATTTGGCATCAGATATGCTGCATATCACAAGAAAAGCACCTTGTCCCTTAACTAAGTAAGAGGAGAAGGAAAACAAGTTTTTGTTAGTTTTTTGTATTGCAGCAGCTGGCTCTACTGTCACTATAGCAACCTGCCACATGATAAGGTATATTAGGTTGCTCTGCATGAGCAAAGTCAGGAATGAACAGCAAAAAGTTAAATGTTACTTTGGAGTTTCTTGTGTAGAAATGTTTATGGTCAATGGTCTAGAAAAGTTAGTGCTGTGATGCTGTTTTAAACAGCAGATTCAGGTAAGTTAAAACTTGTTTTCATTTTTTAATTTTACCCTTTCTTCCTCAAAATGGAAAAATAGATCTTTTATATCTTGTTTTTCTGTTTGCATGTATTGGTTTTATCAAGACTGTAATCCTCACAAATTGGTTAATACTCTAGTTTTGCTATGGTCTTCAAATCACAACATGACATCATTGTCTATTGTAATGTTTTCTGTTTTACAGATAATGAGCCAAACAAAAGTCCTCATTTAGTGACCTCAATTGGGACTAGCAACTTGGTCATTATGCAAAGCAGTTGTTAAGATCACTGTGCTTATGATCTTATGTCAGCTCTCCTTTGTTTTACAGACCTGTGAAGATCATCAATATGAGGATTCATTGAAAAGTTATTTTTTATCACCATTAAAAAAGTAATTTCTTGCTAAATGAGGCAGTCAGTAAATGAGGACTACCTGTAGTTAATGTCATTTGATGATCCATAGCTTGTTACATATGGTCAATAATGTCTTTGGAGATTCTCAGTTATCCAAGTCATGGTTGCCCCAAAGATGCCCTTTCAAAAGGCACCTAGACTTCAGTCAGAACTGAAGAAGCTTCTTGGATAACAAAACTTGAGACTAAGATGACATCCTTCAGGAATCTAGACAAGTAGATGATTCCCATTTCTAAAACTTTTGTATCAGCGTAACTGGGTCTATTATCATCACTAGTGCTTGAATATTTCCATATGTTCAAGAACAGTGACAAAATTCTCAAACAGTTCATTATGAATGTGGTTTTAGTGACCAAATAGAACACCAGAGGGGTACTTGAAAACAAAATAAAAACAAAATAAAACTGGCAGGCTTCCAGATCAGATACAACTAGCCTTTTAATTAGCCTTTCTAATTATCAGCCTGCCATATGACAACATTGGTTGCATTTTGCTTTTACAGATTTTTGTGTGTTGGCTTTTATACTGGTGATTGCAAAATACCCTTGAGGGGACAAAATACTACCAAATTAAGTTAAATTATCCCCTTTGACTTTTTGATAAAAACCAGGAGCTGATAAAATTTATTTCATCTCTTTTCTTTTTTCTACCTTTTAATTAAAAATATAGGCTTTTTAGAATTAAGAATTAGTTTTCCATTCACAGCAAACAATAGGAAATCATCTTTCCTATGCTGATAACAGTCCTTTTGCATGTTGGGCTTCTTTGATTGTTGAGTCATTAGAGCTTGATTTGTAATGTCTATAATTAATTCACTATTCATGAATTATCTACAGAGAATATTTTCTATTAAAATTATCAATTCGTAAATGATAAGATACATGTATATGTCTCATCTTTCACTCATAAAATAAAAAAATGAAGCATTACTGTATGTTGTAGGAAAACATTTTCTGCTCTCCATTTTAAACACATTTAATTAAAATTGCACCTGCGTATTTTTGTTTCAATATTTGGAATTTTTTAAATTGTAAATCATGATCTAGTTCACAATAATATTTTGTAATTCATTCTTAGGTTTCCTACGTCCATGCCTGCACTAGTACTGTTAGTATTTATTGCTTATAAAATTACAACTACTGTTATTTTGTTACATCAAGAAAAGCCAAAAAATATATTTCCAAGACAAATAATTATTTTAGGTATTTTGTGCAATGGAAATCCAAACATACAGACTGATAGTCCTGTTGTATAATTCCCAATATTATTTTTTCAAATGCACAGTAGCCTTATTAACATTTGAATTAAAAAAAAAGTTGCTTTAAAAAAATGCGGATGTAAAAGACAAATACCAAGATTTCCCTTTAACATGCCTGCCATGTTTAAGCACCATTATGGTTTAGTGTTTTTGCTCTGATACCAGTAATTAAAATCATGCAATATATTTAAGTTGTACCCTTTTATCTATTCATCTAAGAGGAAGTTATGGAATGTACTTTTGAATACATTTTATACTACATTATTACAATGCTTTCTTTTTTGGTAATAATTTTATTAAAGGTTACAAATACAAAGATAAAAGACTAATGCAAACCAAGAAAAAAATATATATATAAAAGTAAAAAAGAGAAAAAAGGGGGGGAAAGAATAAGAAAAAAAAGATATATAAAGAAATGAGTTCCCCGTCCCTCCAGACAAGTATAAACTCAGTAACATAACACCTTCTCTAGTACAGGTAGTCCTCAAGTTACGACAGTTCACTTAGCGACTTTTTGAAGTACTCTAATCTAACTTCACAGAGTATTGATATTGAATTTTATAAAGCAATATGTAATATATTACAGTATGAAAAAGATATATACTGATAAAAATCCACCTCAAGCCAGGCAAATGTAGAATGTTAATGATATTGGGCTAAGCAATTTAATAAGATGTATTCTTGTGAAATATTTCACAGTTGAACTGTCCACCAACAGACTTTGCAAAGTTATTTTGCTTTAAAAAGGCATTATGTTTAAGTGAACAATCATTAGGAAGACTTTAAATTAAAGAGTTTGCAGGATGAAAACAAACTCCCCAGAGTAAAGATAAAATTCATGGGATGTATACTCAACATATGGGAAATAAACAAGATGGTCTTGATGCAAAAGAGCAAATATGATTGAATAAACATAATTCATACTTGGTAAGAATGTCTCCTATTACTGGAATATAAATAATTGAAAGCTAAAATTGGTTCAAAAGGAATACAAGAAAGAAAAAGAGAGGAGGAGTTGCATTGTACCTTAAAATATTCATTTCTGCTGGAAAATCCAAATGTTTGAAATGTTATAAAGAACATTTGGTTTAAAATAAGTGAAGGAACAAATCAAACAAATCAGTCTTTGGCCCACTGTTCTTCAATATCTTTATAAATGATCTAGATGAGGGAATTAAAGGTAAGATCATCAAGCCGGGGGGAATTGCTAACACTTTGGAAGATAGACTCAAGTTTCAGAAGGATCTTGACAGACCTGAGTATTGGGCCCAATAATAGGCAGTTTAGTGGTGAGAAAAGTAAAGTCCTGCACTTAGGCAGAAAGAAGCAATTGCACAGATACAGAATAGACAATAACTGGCTCAGAGATCTAGGTGTCCTAGTAGGACACTGCTTAAATATGAACTATCATTGTGCTGCAGCTGCCAGAAAAGCCAACTATCAATAGAGGGATAGCATCACAATCACAACAAGTGATAATACCATTCAGTATTGCTCTAGTAAGACCATACTTGGAATATTGCATCCAGTTCTGATCACCATGATACAGAAAAAAATCCTATGGCCCTAGAAAGAGTCCCCAGAAGAGCAACAGTGATGATAAGAGGTCTGTAGGCTAAACCATATAATGAATGGCTAAGGGAATTAAGTGTGTTTACCCTAACAAAAAGAAGACATAGTGGTGATACGATAGCTATCTTCCAATACTGTCATACATCTGTCATAGCGAAGAGAGGGTCAAGTTATTCTCCAAAGCACCTAAGTGTAGGACAAGAAGCAATGGATGGAAGCTCATCAGAGAAAGGTCCAACCTGGAACTAAGAAGAAATTTCCTGATAGAGTTTGTCTTCTGTGGTTATGAGTGCTCTATCTCTGGATGTTTTCAAGAAAAGATTGGACAACTATTTATCGAAGATGGAATAACAACTGCCCTGGGCAGAGAGTTGGATTAGAAGACCTTCAAGGTTCCTTCCAGCCATATGATTCTATGATTCTATTCTATGTCATTCCATGTGTGTTTGTATGAGGAAGGAAAATTAGTTTCAGTGTTTAAGA